ACACTACACCCTGTCCATCTCCTTCCTTCACTTCTATGCACTGGGCTTCCCTTTTCCAGAACAGGCTTCCTCATTTATTAAGGGCAGTGGACCTCCTAAGCTCTCAAATTGACTTCAAAATCCCTTATTTTAATTGCAATGAGATTCCTGAAATGGTGTGTGTGTAGCCAAAGAAAGCATTGTAATGCACATCTGAGAGTAGACCCATTGGCAGCTGCCCTTTCTGACTGAGCAGAAACAGGCAGTAACTCTGTCCTGTACAAGATATCTTCCCTGGAGATCTTATGTAGCCTATGCCTAATCTGTGGCTGTTATAAACTATCTGCAAAGATTTATATTTTTGGTTCCAAATGACCGTTTCATGAAGGAAAATTCCTAGCAGAATGTGAATATTCATCTTGGCCAATTCATAAAAGAAATTTCTGATGCTGAATTGCCACACAAGTCTGCCGATAGAGTCATCAACATAACTCCCTTCTTCCTTTGCTTAGTGGCAACTTGATCTAAAACTCCTATCATTTCAGCTGGCAAGAACAGTGCTTGATGGCAATGTTTCATGTTATTTTTAGATTCACTCTGACGTAGTCCAGCATGCTTAGTATGCCGATATTAATAGCTGTCATCTTCTGTGTCTGCAAAGAATTCTTCACGGAGCATTTCTAAGAATTTCTTGTTCCTTCAACTCCTCTTTTCATGTTCAACTTTCACCTCCCCAACCCTTTCACAATCAGAGCTGATTCTTTTACACGATTTGTGAATTCACCCTGATTCACTAATTGGAAATGAACCAGACCAGAAAAAGGAATCTAAGAGCAACAGACAGGTAGAAACATCTAACCTAGCACACTGAAATAACATTACAGATCTGCGTCATATGAGATCAGTTCTACAACACTGTAAATTAGACTGACTACTTGACATTTAAAAAAATATTGGATCAAAAAGTAGCACTAGAGAAAGGAGGAACTGTACAAAAATGATAGCGAAAGATCAGCTAGAGATAAAATAGACTGTTATCCTCTTTCTAACCAGCAGTACCTCCTGATACTAACCAAAATTATTGTGTTCCTCTATAATTGAGGGGTATGATGTATTTCACTTCTGCTTTCTGACATAATATGAATACTTTTACACAGGGACAGAAGGCAAATGATTTTAGAAAATGCTCAAGGATTAGGGCGTTCCGATTATCTAAAAATTCCGTTTATCTGAGGGTCCCATCAACCTAGGAAAAACCAATTCACAATAATAGTAAAACTGATGTTTTTAATATTTGGTAGTTTTGTAGTATGAGGCAGTTGGTCTCACATTTCTATTTTGAGTTAAAGATGATTAGTACTTCTTAAATAAAAAAAATTGCTAAACCAGTCATGGTAAACCAAGCCAGGCCTGTGCGCCTGAAGATGTGACAGAAGTGGCTGAGGACAATGATGGTTAACAACGTTTTCTGGTTAACAGAGTGCCAGATAACAAAGGTTTCACTGTACCTGGTTTTCAAATTGTAGGTGGTCAAAGAACAAACCAACAGATACAGTGTGAAGCATCTGACACCCCATTTTACTATTTTCCCATTCTTGTTGACTTCCTCAGAACTAGCACCTCATTGGAACAAACTGGTGCTTCAAGATGCCTTTATATTTTAACAAGATATGCAAAACAGACCCATCACCAGCCATGACAATGTTAAAGTAACTGATACTCTGTGAACCTTCACTAAACAACTCAAATGCTGCCAGTATTGGATTTAACATTGCGAACACCACTGCCCATTGTTTAAAACAGCAATGGAATACTACATCTAATTGAAAACCATAGAAGAATTGAGAGTTTGATTATAATAACCACCTTAAAATGTGGACAGAATACAGGGGGTTAACACGTCTAATCTTGTGAAAAGTGAGACAGAATTTTGATGGCAACAACTATCCAGGAATTGTGATTTTCCTCAGAAGGTAAGTCAATTGAAAAGCATCATCTAATGAACAATGCTCTGCTTAAAAAATGCCTTTATGTGGAAATTTTAAACTCACCCACATACCCCATTTATTCAGTACTTCTGAAGTACCTTCCTGTAGGCCATTGCCTTTAACACTGGATATGCACATATTACTAGAACTCACTACCTTAGAAGTACTTTCCAAACATTCTAAGGAGAGCACAGTATACAGACAAAGAGACAAAAGCTAGCAGAAGGGAAAAAACGGACAATTCACTTCACTAGACAGAAAATGGGTCTTTTAGAAAGATTAATACAGGGAACACCCAGGCAAAATATCCATAGAGAACTTCGCCTCATCATGAGTTAATATTTATAGTTTAACTTTAAAATTAAAAGGCTTCCCTCAGGCTATGAGGTTTAGGAACAGCCAGAATTTACATAGCCACCTTGCATCTACACCAGAATGTATCTGCAGAAAAGAGCACCGTTAATAAATGCCGTAACAATGAACAATATTCACTTTAGAAAGGATTTTTTTTCTTACTCTGTTCAGGACTGAAGCAATGCAGTCTGCTGACTTTCTGAAATTATGATCCTTCCTTCATTTTGTTATGGTGTGAGGGATGGTGAGGCGGGAGCAGTCTGGCATTTCACCCATTGCTGGTGAAATGGACTGACAGCTCCAAAAACAGACAGATGTTCTCCATACACAGAAGTCATGTTGCATAGGCAGTGGCGGAGCAAGGTTTCCTTGCATTGCCCAACCAATGCATCGCAAATCTTACCTAGAAGAAGCTCCCTCCACACAACCACTTCAACAGAGGATTTGGTCTTAAGAGCACATTCGTTATATACAACTGCCTGCACTCTGCGAGGGAAAGAAACTGGAAGAGGTGTAGCACAACCACAGGCCTCTTTATTAAAAGCATGCTCAAGATACCACAGGAATGCAGTACCAGAAAGCAGAAACCTTGCTAATCCAGTCCATAAACTAGATTATAGATTACTAGAGGGCTGCGCCCCCTGGTTGCTCTGCTCGCCAACCCACCTCTCTCTGGCTGCTTTCGCGGCCAGAGCGCCTGATGATGTCATTCTGTCGCAAAACAGAAAACGCTGTTTTATATATAGAGAGAGATTTTCTATGCTAGTCCTGATATCACCTGGCGTCAGGATGAGGAAACATATTACCATAACATCATAACAGTACCAGGGAGTCAATCCCTGAGAATGTACATGAAGAAAACAGAGGCTGCCTAATTCATTTTTCATATTCTCTTTCAAAGTCAAACACCAATTTCCTTTATTAAAGCTGGCTTTTTTGTCCTACAGGAGCCAGCCATAAGATGTGATAACACACAGTCTAATAAATATTCCATTTAATTAATAACAGGGTTTTTTTATATCTTTGACTTTAGCATTGCTGCTCAGGGTATTGCTGTTTTGCTTCTTTCTATTGCTATTCAATCTCTTTTTTTATTTGTAGGCATAAGTTAATCAACGTTAAACTTGCAGTTAAATAAAAGTTTAATACAAATCTGGGGTGTATCTGCAGGGGGAGGGGGTCATATGTATGACACAAGAGGTGACTGTTCCACTCTACTCAGCATTGGTGAGGTCTCAGCTGCTGTACTATGTCCAACTCTGGAGTCACCCTATAGGAAAGATGCGAATGAACTGGGGAGAGAGTACAGAGGGCAACAACAAAAAAGATAAAAGGTTTAGAAAACCTGACCTATAAGGAGAAGTTTAAAACATGGAAACCGGAGAAAGCAAGATGGGGGTGGGGGCAGGGTCTTGATAATCTTCCCACACATTAAGAGTTATTTTAAAGAGGAAGGAGGTCAGCTGTTCTCCATGATCACTGAAGGAAGAACAAGGAGCAATGAACTACTGCAGCAGAGACTTACATTAGATATTAAGAAAAGCTTTCTAACTATATGGATAATTAAATTCTGGAATCGGCTTCCAAGGGAGGTTTTTGAATC